TTTTTCGGTAAAAGAGGTAGAGAAAATCAAAGTCTTATGAAGAAATCCATGCTTCGCTTGGCAGTTACAGCTGCAGGTGAAGAGTACTTTGAGCTCAATAAAGAAGAACCAGGCGCAGTGCTTTCCACCAAAAATCACACGGGCGGCCTTGAGGGCACTGAAGATCACGCAGATGGAAAAATATTTTCAAGCCACAGCTCCAAGAGATGCCCAGTTCAGACCATCAAGTGGTATCTTTCGCATCTCAATCCGGAAGTAGAGTTTTTATTCCAACGGTCCAAGGCAGAATCTACAAGGTTTAATCCAGAGAAAGACAGTGTCTGGTTCGAGAGGAAGGTGTTAGGCCATAACACGCTTGAAAACATGCTTAAAACCATGTCGCAAAGAGCCGCGATCCAGCTGTATTTCACCAACCACTCCCTCAGGGCGACCACGGTCACCATTTTGTCCTCGGAGAACGTGGAAACTCGACAAACAAAAGCAATCACAGGCCACAATAGTGACGCAAGCATCCAAAGCTACTGCGAAAGGCCCACCTTGCATCAATTCCAGCACATGTCGTCCGGGCTAACTTCTTTCATCAACAGGAAAGAAAATACACCACCAAGAGCCGCGTCCAGCTCCTCAGCTTCAAAATCAAAGAGAGATGTGATGGCCCGAAGCAGTCCAGTTCCTCTAGGAGAAACCAGTGTCTCCACCATTCAAAGCGACGAAAACGTCCTAATTTCCAACGGAATTAATCCGAGTTCGATTCTGCCGTCGGGGAACTTCCACGAATGTTCATTCAACATTACCTTTAACATCAACAAGTAATGCGATGAAATTTCTTTCATCCTACAAACTTTAACCTGCTTTCTTTTCAATTGCATCTTCCAAATTACTGCTTCGCCGCAAATTCGAGTGCAGCTATTGCTGAGAGACGCGTTTTAAGTTTGTTTGAAGTTTGAGTCATGTGATTGATCATTCGCACGCGGGGTCCCCGCTGGCGCATGTGACCTTTACACCGGAAATAAAATGTTATGATTTCCGAATTTCTCTGTTGTTCAGCTCTGACGTTATACTAAAACAATTATTCGCCTCAGGCTCGGTGAATAATTGTTAAATATTATACTCTATATATTCTATATATTTATATACCTATATATATTCTTTTTCTTGTGATCATAGTCAGTGCTCGTTTAGAGGCAAAGAACTTATTACGCTTCACTACTTTTCTCTTACCGTTGTTTAAAAAAGACTTTGGTCAAGGGACATTATTTCATTAGAATGCCAAGCCCTTTTACAATTTACTGAGTATTTTTTGTCGTCATTTGTATTTTGACTAGCTGTGCGGAATCGTTAAAATTCTGCTAAATCCGTAAAAATGTTCAACGACACTACACACCGAAACGTCTAATTAACAATTGTTCCACGAGCGCGCGTTGGATATGAGATGATAGATAGCCAACGAGGCGCGTAGCACCGAGTTGGCTATAATCATCTCATATCCAACAGGCGCGAGTGGAATAATTGTTTTATCAATAACGTTAAATTAAATTTTTAAATTTTAGTAAATTTTTTAGCTCCCTTTTAATTTTAAGCTGACGCGTACACTTACCATATTTGTAGATTATGGTATATTGGCTCATATACCATAATGGCTAAGCCAATAAAAAGTCTTGGATTGCATTATCCAATGATCCAGTTTTTAATAATAAACTATATACCTTTACTAACACTGTTTAATGTGATCGTCAACAGTGCTCCAGTGAATGCCGCGGGAGACGTGGGCCGAGAGGTCAGCGAGGAAAGACTGGGTCAAAAGGACAGATAGGCCCAAAAGGACCAAGGGGACCCCCGGTCAGTACATGTTTTGCGCGTTACCTTGCCCGGATATTGTAAAATGGGACAGAAAAGAAATGATGAATATATTTTTTATATATTTTATTTCAGGGAGTGAATGGGCAAGATGGACGGAATGGGCAACCAGGAGCTCCAGGACTTGTAAGTAAATGAGCTCTACTTCCAAATGTAAACCTTCCAAAGAGAGAAAGAAAGGCTTTAGTCTATTACCAGCTTGGCTAACTCAAAGAGTCTATTCGATAATCTGACATCACATAAGATATTAAGTCAAAAGGTCCTCAAAATTGTGAAAAAAAAACAGTCTTCTAGCTTGACATAAAAAACGTTTCAAGCCGTGTAGAACATTTTGTCGAAAGTCAATGTTCTCCTGCCCTCTAGAGATTTGCGAAAAGGCAAATTCACGCCGGTATTGGTTTAAATTATGCCCATTAACAATCCTGGAAAGTTCCTTACTGCAGTCCTTTCTCCCACTTATCCATTTATTATTACTTCCTTCATGTTTTCTCAAGCCTGGACCAATTGGAAAGCCAGGATTAAATGGAACCCGAGGAAAGAGGGGAGTCATAGGACAAAAAGGAGAGCAAGTATGCACTTAACACCTTCAGTTTATTGTAGATTTTTTCTGACATTATTATTTTGACCGCATGTTGCATAGAGGAATCATGCCCATCTGTTGGAATATCCATTTATGGGTAGCACAAGAAAGTTAGTAAAGACTTATCTAGAACATTGAAAAACTTTACAAAAGTTTGAGAACATTTCAATCTAGCGAACGTTTATGGAGGTCATAATATTAATGTCTATGATAACAATAATGAAGCGTTTTTGTAAGGTGTAGCAGCCTAAGATAGTGCCTCTCTTTAGACGTTCTTACGATTTCGAACACTACATTTCATCTTTCTACATTGATAAATTAGACTTTGAAATGTCTGTTGTTTTCAAAACCTCTCAAAACCTTGTAACGCTTTTATCCATTTCAGGGAATTCAAGGCCCATCCGGTATTCCAGGCCCTCCCGGTGTACCAGGGAGCTGTGTGAGATCAGTACCATCCAACACCACTGTCCCTACAGTATTTTGCTTGCCTGGTAAACAGGGTCTTAAAGGAATTAAAGGGGACAACGGAAACCGTGGATTACCGGGGGCCCCAGGGCCACGAGGAAACAGAGGCCCACGAGGAAACAGGGGCAACAACGGCCCCCCAGGGAAGAAGGGTGAAACTGGGCCACCAGGAGACTTTTCTGATCTGGAATGTGTTCCTCGGTACACCAGTTGGGTGAATAGAAGTCAGTGGTTCGACAAATACCCCGAGGTCCATTGTGATAGGAGAGAATTCTTACAAGGCTTCAGTCTGGAAGAAAACGATGCTCGCGGACAGAGGAGATACATATACACTTGTTGTACACTCAGGGTGACCAATGGTCCTTAAAAAGCCCAGTAATTGAAGACCTGAATAAAGAGTCAAAAGCAATGACTCGTCTCTCAAAAACAGGAATTTTGATTTATGACCAAAGTTGAAGAGAGTATCTCTGAAGAAACTTAAGATAAGACAAAAGGACTTTACTATACATTGAAAAGAGGATACGTTGTTAACCACTAGAAGGATAACATTTCTAGACTATCCTTGTTCGCGTAAAACAACTCATCGAGAAATGTCAAGTGTGATTAGAAGGTATAAATTATTGTTCCTGGCATAGGCACTGTTCTTCGGCTTCTCTGTCATTACATTTGATTTAATCTTTCCTAGAGTAGAAACTGTAGATAAAAGAAACCCGAGCGACGTGCGGTCGGCTTTCTATAAGAATTGCTCAAAAAGGTTAACGGGAAAAAATTTGCTTCCAATTAGGTTATCTTGATTTTTAAGAAATACGAACAAATATATCATGCCATATCATAATGACAATTAACCGTACATCATATGCAGTGAATTTGGAAGTCAGTTTTTCTCACAAGGGTGCAAGCCATCAGTTAGGCAATGAATGATGCGGGCATTTATTTGCCTTCAATAGGCAGTTGACAATTAAGACAGTTCCAGATCGTTTAACTTAGCTATACTCCAAATAAATGTGACAACTGCGACGTCAGAGACTTTGACTTTAAAAAAGCGCTGCTCTTACTACATTACACAAACTACACAGAAGAACACTGTAGCAGCTTGTGCTGCATGTGCACTTGAGCGTTTGGACAAAAGTCACCCTGAAGTATGCAACCTCTGGACCATTCAACATATTCCCGAATTTTTTTTATCACATGACGGGTTTTCATCAAATTACAAAGCTTTGAGGGTCAAATGACAAAATGTCTAAGATCTGGTAAGGCTGCTAAAATATTTGCATCCAGAGGAAATTTTTTTAATGTAAAATAATATTTGGAAGTGTAATGCGATCGTCCGGGTGATTGTAGTCCTGAGAAGGACTATTGTCAGTGGTGGTTACTGACGTTTCGACAACCTGTGCGGAAGTCATCTTTGGAGTCAAATAAATGAATAGTTGTTGTCAATAGAATGTTCGTAGTCCAGTTCGTGTAAAATGATTGGTCAGTTTTGCCGTAATGTTATGGGCTGTAAGACTCAAGTGGCGTAAGTCGGTCGGGATTGGTCTATTTCGATCCGTCGGTAAAGTCAGGTCGTTCTGTGCGGATCGTTTGTAATGTTAATGTCGTAAATGAGTCGTTTGTATGGTGCCGGTTGCAGTTGACACCTGTTCAAAGGAGTCTGTTAGCAAACCGGCTTTCCGAGTCAGTCAGTGAAAGTGGTTGTTGAAACATCAGTCACCACCACCGACAAAAGGCCTTCTCAGGACTACACTCACCCGGACGATCACGCTACAGTTTCACATGTTATCCCGGGGTTGAAAATATTTACTATTTTTGGGATCATGTAGGTTATCGTTCGATAAAATGACGCGTCAAAAGCGATCTCGATGAAAGTTTTGTTCCTCTGCGGTGACTATGTCGTACTCCTTTTAAGGTAACTTAGAAAAGTATAAAAGAACTAGAGCATCGTTCAGGCCTTGAACTTAAGATGTTTTTCGCAGCAATTGCGCACGCTTAAGTCATACCATAAAACCTTCCTGATATATTTTAAAGAAGACTTGGTGTTTACGAAGCTAACCTTTCTTCCGTTACATGTTTTAAAACAATTCACGACGTCTTCAATGACTCAAATGAGAGAAGGAGAAAATAACAGGCTGTTCCAAGCTCGTAAAGAGTGAGAGACAAGGAAAGTATTTGAGTTCCCCTCAAAAAATCCCTCCAATATCGCAGCAGGTGCTGTTAACAATGATCAATTCGTAAGAGCATCCCTCAAGAAAATCACAGCGCTTGACTTTCCAATCTTTCATTATTTGGGATTTTCTCTTCACAAGATGATACCGGGCAGAGGTCCATCATCAGGTCTAGAACAAAAATCTTCTTTAAGTGAGTTTTATTTTCACAAGATAAAAAAGTAACTAAAGAGATTACAATAACTTTCTGAGTCAATCACTCTACCTGACACGCTGAAAAAAATGCCCTAAAGAGTGGCATTGGTGAAAGAAAAATGCAACTCAAATCAACTGACGTAATATAAAAATCTATTATAAAAACTAAAAAATATATAAGTAACGTACTACAAACTTTTAAAGTTCAATTTGCTTAGGAACTACTTCAGTGCTGTTAATAAGCAAGAAGGAAAATTGCAATCACAAAATGAATGAAACTTTTCAATGAAATTGAAACAATTGTAAGACTCTAATTGAAAAAAAAAATCACCAACATGACCTACTAGCGACATAGACTACTAAGTTCTACAAATATTCCTAACCCTGAGCAAAATTCAAATGGAAGTCAAACGTACAATCTACCGTAGTTCACATACTATTTTACGGTGGTGAATTTATATCATGCATTAAGAAAATAAAGTTTTGGACCAAGGAATTTCGCCTTATAGGCCTAACCAAACATATGGTTTTTTTTTTTCACTGACAGCCAAGCTACACTGCTTAAGATACCCAAGAAGTTCTCGTCACCAGAGAAGTTAGAGACAAAAAATTGCCAAAAAGCCGTCAGCAAGGATCTCGTCTTTTCTACAAACAAATAAAAAAGATCAGAAACGTCAATTTAAAACATCAATTTTTACACAGGTTTAAATGCATTCCTAAAGCATTAAACTTGTTTTACACACCAATATTTATAGAAGTATCAGAAATCCATGGGGTTAGCGTCAGACAAGCCAATTTTGCATCGACACATTTTGATATACATTGAACACAAACTGAAGTTCCTGTCGTGTCATTATGTTGGGAAAGTTCTGGTCAAAGCCTTCCATTAAACTTGGATCTCATTTTGCTGCTCATTTCAAATTATACATTGTGATTCCGTGACTAAAAACATTTCATCTTAAAAGACATGTGAACCATTCCAGTTACCCGCCCTCTCATTAAAATTGAATGGCATAAACTTATACCTTGGCAAGACTACCTACCTTCATGTAAACATGCTCTGGGCTTACTTCAAAGCATATCATCAATTAATATTGGCCTACTTACATTTGACAATATCCAAGACTTATCTTTAATCAAATTCCAGTCTGACATCATCCCCAATGAGCACAAAGGGTGCCCAGTACTTCACATGGCTGAACTTTTCAGACTCTTTCATACTCTTCATAGCTTGGTTAAGAGCTTCACTGGCCAGCTTCCCAGTGAGCAGTTCTTCATAGAAATGTTTCATAAACTCGAGAGTAGCCTCGTCATCAATTGCCCACAACGACACAAGAACAGAGCGAGCGCCGGCACCCATAAACGCTCTTGCAATTCCAACCACTCCCTCGGCCTTAATCTCTCCATGAGCACTGTGACAACAACTTAGCACAACCAGCCTTGCCTGTATCTGAATATCCAACACCTCTTTCATTGTTAGAATAAAATCCTCTTCATTAAAGGGCTGTGATGAACAAGTACTCCGTGGGGCTAAAGCAATCTCGCCTGTTTCCATTCGGCCATGTGCTGCAAAGTGCACTAACGCAACAGAGGGAAGTCGTCTCAATACCTCATCTTTTTTTGCTTCTTCACCAATAAGAGGATCAGCACCAAGGATTCTTCCGATCATCGCTACTTCTTTTCTTGCACATGGCAGTGGACCGCGCTTCAACTCCCTAAAAAGATCCTCCCCCAAACACGGATCACCCACGAGTAATGCACCTGTCTTGTTGTGAAAGTCATCTGGGTAATCGTTAATCAACTTCAGAGTAGTCAGGGATGGAATCGTTCGAACTCGGAAAGAGTCACAGAGGTAACTTGACTCGGAATCCATCAATGCTGCAAAAGGGACTAGCCACAGTGAGCTCTCAGGAACAAAGATAAGTTCATTGCCATCTACGAGATCAGCAATCGGCTCAATGATAACGTCATACAACATTCGTAATGCTGCGTTCTGTGGTGAGCATTCAGAAGAGATATCAGGATGACCTGACCTTTCCTTCACAAATTCTTCTTTGCGGGGCTCATCAAGAGAACGATTTTCGCATTTAATAACACCTCTTTTAAACTCTCTTGACGCTGTGTTTAGTAAGCTTCCAATAAAGGTATTGACATCTTTGAACAGGCCATACTTAATTATCTCAATACTTCTCAATTGAATATCTTGAAAGCGGTTTATAAACCAATAGTAGATCTTGCGTTCCATATCATCTACCGCCATAAAAACTATATTTACAGCACCGCCAACAAGAATCTCAAAATCAAAACTTGTTGGTGTGTGAGGGCGAACTTGTGCCTTTTCCGACCAATAATTAAAGCGAATAAGGTCATTGAGCGCCTGTGCACGTCCTTGTTCAGCACATAGAAGTGCATCTAAAATTTGATTTTTTTTTAAATGAACAAGCCAGAAACAAGTATATGCGTTGCTTTTCATGTTGCGGTAACTAATCTTCCAATCATCTTTGAATCGCATACTGGCTCGGATAGCTTCAAAGATTACTATACAAGAATGGTACAGGTTGACGGCTTTTTCTAGGTCGCCCAACCCCCAATAATCACGGCCGAGATGGCCGTAGCTTGCTCCCTCTTCGGTCTTGTCACCCACTGCTTTCGCAATTTTTAGATCATGTTCATGATACTGGATGGCTCTTTCGAAATCTCCTAGGCAACAATAAGAATTGCCAAGATTGCAGTAACTTTTTCCCTCTCCAGCCTTGTCTCCCACTTCTTTGGCAATCTTTAGATGATGTTCATGATACTGGATGGCTCTTTCGAAATCTTCAAGGCCTTGATAAGCATTGCCGAGATTACAGTAACTCATTCCCTCTCCAGCCTTGTCTCCCACCTCTTTGGCAACTTTTAGATGACGCTCATGATACTGGATGGCTGTTTGGAAATCTCCTAGCGTTTGATAAGCATTCCCAAGATTACAGTAACTTTTTCCCTTTCCAGCTTTATCTCCCACTTCTTTGGCAAATTTTAGATGAAGCTCATGATACTGGATGGCTCTTTCGAAATCTCCTAGGCTTTGATAATCATTTCCCAGATTACAGTACGTCTTTCCCTCTCCAGCCTTGTTTCCCACTGCTTTGGCAATTTTTAGACCACGTTCATGATACTGGATGGCTCTTTCGAAATCTCCTATGTTTTCATAAGCATTGCCGAGATTGTTGTAACTCGCTCCCTCTCCAGCCTTGTCTCCCACTTCTTTGGCAATTTTTAGATCCCGGGCATGATACTGGATGGCTCTTTCGAAATCTCCGAGGCTGTGATAAGCATTGCCGAGATTACCGTAGCTCTTTCCCTCTTCAGCCTTGTTTCCCACTTCTTTGGCAATTTTTAGACTACGTTCATGATACTGGATGGCTCTTTCGAAATCTCCTACGCTTTGATAAGCATTGCCGAGATTGCCGTTACTCTTTCCCTCTCCAACCTTGTCTCCAACTTCATTGGTAATGTTTAGATGACGTTTATGATGCTGGATGGCTCTCTCGAAATCTCCTAGGTTGTGATAAGCATTGCCGAGATTACCGTGACTCGCTCCCTCTGCAGTCTTGTCTCCCAGTTCTTCAGAAATTTTTAGATGGCGTTTATGATACTGGATTGCTTTTTCGAAATCTCCTTGGCAACGATTAGCATTGCCGAGATTGCAGTAACTCTTTCCCTCTCCAGCCTTGTCTCCCACTTCTTTGGCGATTTTCAGATGATGCTCATGATACTGGATGGCTCTTTCGAAATCTCCTAGGCTGTGATAAGCATTGCCGAGATTACAGTAACTCGCTCCCTCTCCAGCCTTATCACCTACTTCTTTGGCAATTTTAAGATGACTCTCATGATACTGGATGGCTCTTTCGAAATCTCCTAGGTTGTGATAACAATTGCCGAGATTGCTGTAACTCTGTCCCTCTCCAGCCTTGTCTCCCACTTCTTTGGCAGCTTTTAGATGCTGATCATGATACTGGATGGCTCTTTCGAAATCTCCTAGGCAACGATAAGCAATGCCGAGATTGCCGTAACTTTTTCCTTCTCCAACCTTGTCTCCCTCTTCTTTGGCAATTTTTAGATGACGTTCAAGATACTGGATGGCTCCTTCGAAATCTCTTAGGCAATAATAAGCATAGGCGAGACTGCCGTAACTCGCTCTCTCTCCAGCCTTGTCTCCGACTTCTTTGGTAATTTTTAGATGGCGTTCATGGTACTGAGTGGCTCTTTGGAAATCTCCTACGCTTTGATAAACATTGCCGAGACTGCAGTAACACATTCCTTCTAAAGATTTGTCCCCCACTTCAATGGCATAGAGGAGGACCCTTTGGACAGCTGTTTGAGGTAGTTCATTGTTGATTTGTTCCTCCTATGGTTTGAAGTTAGAAATATTTCACTCATCTATTTACCCCTTGGGTTACCTATTCTCAATTTCCTTGATTTTTAATGGCCAGTTACATCAGCCAGACTTGTGCGCCTAAATGGTGCTTCTCGATTTATTAAACCAAACCAGTTGGGTGTGGACTGAGGACATTTCTCTTTGAGCTTTTCCGGATGAAAATGGTTTTTACCCTGTGGTCGTTCCTCTATGTTTTTTTCTTTAAGTCAAGGGTCAGTAAAGTTAACTTTGGGGTCTGAGAAAATAGAATAATTATAGTAAATAGTCAATAAAAAGTGTCAGAGTGAAAAAATTATAAGAGAAAAGCGCTTGGGCAACGACTTCGGCGAAAAACAGCTGCCGAAATGTCACAGATTATGAACATACACCTGACATCACAAACATAAGAACTGCTTTCTTATGTCTATGGAAACATCGAACTGGTCCTCTTGCACGGAATCACACCGATCGAACGTCTCTTTCCGTGTTACGTCTTGCTGCGTTTATATTAAAGTTAATCCTGTAACTGTTCACTTACCTCGCTTTTCGCGCTGTATTTGTCAAGGTTAGTCTTTACTTCCTGTTTACTTCCTGATTCATCTGTCCCATCAGTTTGCTCATTTACACATTGAGTCCACAAATCAAGTAATCTCTTGTTGTTCTCGATCTTTACAAGATCAAGTCAAATAATTTATCTCGTAAAAGGAGTCTCGGTTCAGATTTTCTGCACCAAAAAAATTCAAACTTAACCAGGCTCATGCCAGCATTCACTCTGGTGTAACTAAAATATGCCACGAGAGCTGATAACAACTTCTACTACTTCTATCACTAGTAGTGGTGGTAGTAGCAGAAGCAGAAGCAGCGGCAGCAGTGACGCTATTACACCAACATCGCCCTTAAAAGCTCCATAGACAGTATTATCTCCATTAGCATCTTTAGCGCCACCACTACTGCCACCTCAAGCAAAACTACCAGTACCACCATCATTGCAAGCTCTCCAATTCCCCGCTATTGCTACCCCCAGTTGCACTTCGTAGAGAACTGTTAATATCAATACCAACTACTCGAAAAAAAATTAGTGCTTGCGCTGCTACCAGTGCCATTACCACCTCTACTGCCACAACAAATGAGCGGAGGTATCCGCACATTTACCATGTAAGCTTCTCATAAGCTATTCATTAACTCCCGGCCATAATCTTTCGTGACACAATATTTCTCTAACCTCCGTTTCAACATTTGGGCAAAAATGCATCCGTGCTTCTGATTAGTCTCTGGTTTTTCTTATAAATCTGTTTTCTAAGTAAAATGAAGAAAGGGAAGACACGGGGGTTTTTTAAAGTCACCAATCTAGATAAAGACATTGTCCAACAGGGCTCAACTCCTGTAGTAGGTATAAGCATTAACGGAACTCTTTTTTTAGACTTAAGGTAGTTCATGATAAGAATTCGGGATTGTTCAGCACCTACTGAGTATCACGATAAGAGCGTTACAGTTATGGTATAATTGAGGACCATATTACTTTAGAAGGTTTGAACCCAAGACTGTTTAAGATGAGATCCGTTGTTGGACATGTTGACCGTCTAAATTACAAGTTATCGAGTAACTCGAGTCTTTATATTCGTCACATTCAACACCATATGCGAACCGTTTACTTCAGGTAACTGAGTAACAAAAATCTCCATATGCGATATGACCTTTTAGTGATTCATCAAAGGATACTGTCAATCCTTTCTGACACCAGTCAATGGCTTCTTGATAGAAGTGAAGTTGGACACATGCACTAGCCCCTAAAAAAGAGGAAGTTGAATATTTATGATTGTAATTGTGATTAATAATCAATTATTATATTAATAATTATATTCATAATTATTTCCATTGCATAGGCTCAAAACACCCAAAGTTGTACTTTTGTGGTTAACTTTAATACTCTCTAGTTGTGAAAGTGGTCAAAATAAAATTAATACTCGGGACCGAGTCGGAAAGATATGCTGGTGAAGGAACGTGAAAATGGGACCAGTGTTTGGATGAAACTATCAGTACTTACAACTTGAACCTTAAAACACACCATGACTATAAGAATTTCTTGTTTACTGACATACGGGAAAAAATTTCAGCGTGGCCATTGGCCGACAACACGTCAATTAATTTCAAACAATGCAAAAAGTTGACGTGGGGTGAAAAATAGGAGGTCTGAGACCGAATGTGGCTACTGATAAAGCACATTTTTAAAGCACTAAACAGAATAGAGGTTGTATAATAATAATAGAAGATCGTGCTGTTTACATGCAAAGCAGACAATCTGCCGCATCCCACATATCCATGGGTACCCTGTTCCACAAGAGAAAGACGATTCAAGAATGTAATGACTCCCTCACATTCAAGCAATAACTAAATGGTAACAACTAAACAAATAAACAATAATAACATTTATGACATTATAATTTATAAAGGCTTGCATTAGACTTTGAAAATTTACTGGCGTTGATTTATCTCAAATTGCACTCGAAATCATGTGATTACTTAGAGGCAATTCCAATTTAGATCTGGAGGAGGGTTCAACAAACCGAAATCAAATTTAAACCAATAAAATTAGATTTTCAATCGGTAAAACAAGACAATGATGATTCCTGGCACAAACTTTTTGTCTGCATGGTCACTTAGCCTGAAGTACAATCTTTCAGACATACATAGTAGTAAAAACGAAGAAACTTCTGCATATCTTAGGAAATGCAAAGACTGAGCTTACCGCTTTCTATGGCTTTAATGAAAGTTGGTTCCAACTGAACAGAAACTGTAGCATCATCCAAAGCTTCTTGATAATTTCCTAACAAAATATTTCCGAGTGAGTACGTTGAGTACAATCCTTTATCCCTTGGAATGGGCATAAACATTTTCACATTGCTCATTGAGCACACCAAGCTTGCCAAGTTGGCGATAAATTCTATTACCTGACTTTATCTTATGGGAGGATGTGAGTTCCCAACATTTTGTCTACGTATATGATATTGGGAGTTTTCTTTATGCAATAGTTAAAGCTTCACTTCCTACCATTGATTATAACGGGTATACGACACACTATCTGTTAGTCCAGCGGTATACTAATTGATTGGGGCAGTACGGTCAGTACGCGTGTAGCTGGTAACAGGGCCGTGCGATGGACTTCTCTAAGTCAGTACTTTACTAAAAGTACCTCTCAATCACATCCATTCTGTCTGACTTATGTTCCCTTTAGCAAAACTCCCTAAATTGGTTAAGCTTCCCATATTACCTTCATTGAGGTTGCGTAGTTCGACTCGCAAAGCAGCAAACGCGTTCCTTCCGCGCACAACTCGAATTGTAAATTATGATGTTAAACTCATACAAAAATAAATACAGAGCTGGAATGTTAGGAACGGATGTTCAATTCTTACCCAAAAGCAATTGAGCTACTGCCCTGTTGCTATAGAGGGCGGCGTTGACTTGGATGTTATTGCAATTCACTTGCAGTCCCTCGGTATAGAAGTGTACCGCGTTGTCAGCCTCTCCTTTAGTGTACTCGTTATCACCTTCCTTCAAGTACACCTCTGCTATCGCTAACAGAAAAGCAGCAAACATCTATAATATACATCATAATTCAAGAGAGACGTAAAGGCTATTATCTCAAGATATACAGCTTTGTAATGTATTTTGGAAAGCTGCAGTTTGGCCTAACTGTCCATAGCTAAAGTCGTGTTTTTGACAAACAAAATATTCGGTCCAAGTCCCTTCGCATGTTCCTCTGGCAATAAGGATGTGGAATTCTAATTAATTCGAGGATTCGGGGACTAAATTGAATATGTTGTATCTATTGTGGTTGTCATTCTTACCTTTTAAAGTATCATCATCAAATTGTGATGTACTGTCTGACGGTAACTCAGCCTGAACGTCTATTGCGTCTGAGAAATATTCAGTCAAACATCAAGGTTATCATATATCTTAGCTATAATATTTTAGCTATACAACTAAAGGTTGCGTTGTGCAACGTTTTAGACCAAGATTAAGATGAACTTTGTTTCAACCAATACTTTCAAAACCAACTTTGCTATTTTCATTCGATGGCGCACTAGCCACACTCAGGACTTAATGTATCAAATATGATGGAAAGTCTTTCCAACAGTGACAAACACTGGCAAAATGATTTAAACAACGTGAATCGAGGTGTTCAGTGGAGAAGTGGTCAAACTCTATCTCAAGTGTTTGATATATCTTTTTTCATCAACACTAAAAGTAGAATGTAGTCTGCAGAGAAATAAGATGATTTAAGGTCGCTGATTAATAAAGACTTCCAACCTTATACCACGGTACCGACTTCCTATTTTATTAAACAGACATATTCAAATTGATCTTATCAACAAAATATATTGGACTCTAATCGACACGGGAGTGAAAGGAAAACCAAGAGACCTAAGGAGTGAGTATAGAAAAGGAGATGCAGACGGTGGCAGTCTCTTAATGACAGGCACTGAGGAAAAGAGCGAAAGAAAGATTGCATTGGTCGTCCCTTATGCATGACTTTATGAGCCCAAGGGCAAGAAGAGGATAAACGGTATTTAGTTCTTTCTGGGCCGAAAGGGATTGAAGTCAGTCTTCCGCACTCTCCGAAAAATAAAGCTCTCAAGAAGTTGTCAGCAGTTGGTTCCTTCTTCTAAAGTATTCTCTAAGTAGTAGAAATTCGGTTTTGAAATACATTTGCTTTCAATTCAAGAACAAGACACTGTAACATGACAATTAATCATACAAATAGGCCTACTTTCCTTACCTGCCTGAATATCATCTGCTAAATTTACTTTCAAGTCACCAGATCTGACCTGACGTTTCTCTGTGGCTAGAAACAAAGCATTCCGTTCATATTTAAACCTTTGCACTTAAAAAAAAAAAAAGACATTCCAAGACTATTTCCCAGGTGATTGGTTATATCAACTAAGTTGAAATAGTAAATTGGCCACCGTAACGAATAAAAAAGCTGACGTTTCGAGCGTTAGCCCTTCGTCAGAGCGAATGGAGGAATTGTGGGTTGTATGTGGTTTTATATGCAGAAAGCGGAGCTACGCCATTGGTGGGAACATGGCAACGAGAAAAACACGAGTAAATTAGTGGAATGAAAAGCGTTCGTTGATACCTGTGGGATTAACGGTTCCGATTTGAAAGATCAACTTTTGTTCAAGAGTTTTGGGGCTTTCCGTGTCGCCTAAATGTAAGGAAAAACCGCAGATAGCCATATGTTGTGTTAGAATGATTAGGTAAATTGAAGTGTCTAGCGACTGGTTTAGATGCGTCCTTGTCATTCCTTTTCACGTCGCGAAGGTATTCTCCAAATCGGTCAC